GCTTGAGTTCAGGAGTTCGAGGCTACAGTGAGTTGTAATCATACCACTGCACCCTAGGCGACAAAGTGACACCCTGTCTCCTAAAAAAAAAAAAAAAAAAAAAAAATCCCCAAAGTGATTCTGACACAAAGCTTCATGTGTAAGTGACAGTTTTCAGTCTTACAGCAATTAAATTCATAATTATGCCTTCAGTAGGAAAGAGCACAGGATATGAGTCAGGGGAACTGGGCCCAGTTCAGCCTCTGCCTCTGAGACGCACTTATCCTACACTCCTGGTCTTTTAAGTGCAGTCTATGGACCAGCAGCATCAGCATCTCCAGGGAGCTTGTTAGAAATGCAGATTCTCACCCCTGCCCCTCACCTACTAAATCAGGGTCTCCAACTTAACAAGCTCTCCCTGTGGTTCCTGGGCACGCTGAAGTCTGAGAAGAACTGTCTAGACCAAGTCTTTCAACCTCTCAGAGTTTCATTTACAAACAGATGGACTTGAAGCATATCTAAATCCTCCTCCCAGACCTACTGGTGCATGCTGACATCAGAGTGAGGACACAGAGGGAACACAATAGAAAGTTCTGGATAGGATGCCAGAAAAAAGAGTGTGAGATTAGGTACACACACACACAGTTTTATAGAAACCATTTGTCTAGGAAAAATCCAAGTCCCAAGACATACACACCCTCTTATGAGATCCTGAGATTCTGCTCAAGCAGGAGCAGTCCCTTGCTGGGGATGGGAAACTGAGGAAGTGAGAAAGGTTGTGGACAACCCAACGCCCCAGGGCAAGTCCAAGGGAGAGGACAAACTGCAATCCAGGTGTCTGCGCGCCCAGCCCTGGACCACCCTGTCTTGTTATCTCAGCTGCATCAGGAAAAATTAAGAAAATAAGAACAGGACATCATAACAAAGAAAGCAGGTGTTTATAGGGGGCGATATATGGACATCGCTCCTCAGTCCCATCCTAGAGCCTTATCAGTCTTTGGATTATTATTTCAACCTTATTAAAATTAGCATCATTAAAATTGAGCATTAGGGCCCCCATAGTCTGACAACCATTCTAGCCCACCCTCCATCTCTTGGTCTGTATAGTTTCACTTTGGAGGAACCAGTGTCAAATAAATACATCCTGCTAGTTTCCAAGAGTCAGATTTCATGAGTCCTGACTGTCACCTTTGCTTTCAAGATTCTAGAGCTCAGTTTCCCATTGTTTACCGTTCTGTGGGCTCTGTAGGTAAGTTAATGTGTGTCCTTATTATGAAATTCACATGTCAGGAACTCAGACATTTACACATGGGGTGATATACCAATGCGGGTTCACTTACCCTTTCTAATTGCATAAGAAATTTATGAACATTAATAACATTCAACCCCATAGAAATATACAACATAAGAGATGACATTCCCTTTCCACACAGGTCCCCATTATGCTGTTACCACTAACAGCGCAGCACCAATGTGCCACTCTTTTTAAATTTTTTGTGCAAGACTTTTTTAAAAATGAGCATACCACACATAATATTGTGCAAATTCTTTTCGTTACTGTGTATCTCATGGCCATCTTTTTAAGTCAAGTTATAATGCTCTCTCTTCTTCCTCGTGTCTACATGGCATTTCAACATTTCCCCAAACATGAACCTATCCATGGACCCTTGGATTATTTCCAATTTTTCTCTATTACAAACTACGCTGCACATTTGAACATGTAACACCAGGAGTGCCCACAGGAAGTGGCAAGCTCTTTGGTATATTATGTTTGCAGATTGCTGATTTGTCTCCTGGTGCACCTTTCGGTCTTCAGCTGGAATAATGGTGGTGATGGAAGGTCTGATTTATTGGAGATATGAAGGATTTGAAATTATGACCCTTATTGTCTGAAAACCTTGCATGCACTCTGCAGGAGTCCATCTTTGCTACAGAGATCCCTTGCCCATACCACACACCCCTATCCCACACAGCCTCACCACTCATCCCATGGAGCCAGTTCCTTTATCCAACAAGTCTTCAGGTACCAGCAAGACAGACCTAGTCACTGCTCTGAAGGAGTCTATAGTCTAGAAAGGATGTTAGAGAAATAAACAGAAGAATAAGAATTTCAGATGGAGATACATGGTACGGAGAAAATATTACCAGGTCCTGAGATGAACGATGACTAGAAAGGGTAAGGGAGGTAAATTTTCAAAATCTTTTTTCACAGATAAAAATCACTTGGTTAAAAATTCTAAAAGTGTTAACAATAAGTATAAAACCTTATGAAAGTCAATATCCTGCCCTTGGGCCCTAAGAATCTAGTTACCCTACCCTCTGAAAACCCTGACAACCAATGTTTCTTACGTAATCTTTGGAGATAATTTATATGCATGTGTGTGAGAGAGAAAATGTGTGGGCAAATGTATAAATATATGTATACATATCTCTTCCTATATTTTTACACAAATGGTAGTTTCCATCTTACCTACTACTCTATCTTGCTTTTTCCACTTAATATATTTCAAATATTATTTCATTTCAATGTAATAAATGAATCATTTTCTATTCTTTTTTATAATTACATGGTATTTCACTGTGAAGATATCCTACAATTATATAGCCAGTCCTTTATTGAGAGACATTTACTGCATCATTCTTTTGCCAATCAATAGAACAATGAATATCTTGAATATATGTCAAATCATGTTTATGTAAGTGTATCTGTAGAAAAAGAAAACATGGATTCAGCAGGTCAAAAAGGATCTGTAATTTTGATAGATATTGCCAACTTGTATGGCAACAGGTAAGGACATTTTTTCTATAGAGGGCATGAAAGTAAATATTTTCAACTTTGCAGGATATAGAGTCTCTATCACAACTACTCAAACCTGCCATTGGAGCACAAAAGCAGCCATAGACACAAATAAAGGAATGAACATGATTTTGTTCCAATAAAACTTAAGTCATGAAATTTGAATTTTACATAATTTTCATGTGTCACAAAATGTTTTATTTTATTGATATATACTTACAGTATACAACATGATTGTTTTGATACACATATGTATAGTGAAATGATTAACATGTTCAAACAAATTAACCTATGCATCACCTTCCATACCTACCGTGTGTGTGTGTGTGTGTGTGTGTGTGTGTGTGTGTGTGTAATCAGAGCATCTAAAATCTACTCTTACCAAATGTTCAATATACAATACAATACAATATTATCTTGATTTTTTTTCAACTACTTAAAAATGGTTCTTAGGTCTTGGGCAGTACAAAAGCAAGCAGCAGGCTGGATTGAGCTCACAAGTCATCGTTTGCTAACTTCTGCCATTTACCTCCCCACCATTTGTATTTGAAAGCCTGTTTGTGCCAATACTGTGGCCAACACCAGGCATTATCAAACTTTTGAATCTTTGCCAATTTGACAGGTGAAATTGTATCTCAGTTATGCTTTACTTTGCATTTCTCTTTGTAAAGCAATGTAAATGATCTTTCTTTGTGAACTTCCTTTTGTATTCTATTCTTTTTTCTTTTTCCTCACATAGAATCAATCATTAATTCAATTCAACAACTTCAGGATTCCACTAAGGCATATGGAAAAACAAAATATCAGTTGGTTTTCCTTCTTAATTTATTTTCTTTATTAACAGAACAAAACCCAAAGCAAATCTTTAAAACTAAGATTTATTAAGGAAGAATGAATGTTATTCTCCAGTGCTTTCTCTACTGTGGTTTCGCCTTAATTGATCTTTCTCCCACTGGACCATAATCCAACTGGCATAAAGTGTTGCTGCGGATGGAGAGAGAAAGTAAAAAACTTTATTTAAACCACTGATTAATTTTATATTTCCTAGCTGGCCTGTGCCATGTGTCATGGAGGGCAATGGAAGGGGTGTGTGTGGTGGGGATGGAGGTGGGTGGATATTTTGTTTGCTGAATTTTAACAAGACCATTTTGGTTTCCCCATGAAAACTGAAACATGAGCCCAGTTCACTGACATATAGTCTCCACTGGAAACCCAGAGCCCAACACAGAATCATTGCTCCAGCTTCTTCAAATTCGAGCCATTATCATATTTGTTAATCTCCCTTGCAGCTGTGTTGGAAACTCCTCGGACTAAAAGTAAATCAGCTCAGGTGGAGTTCTATTATAACCAGAACTCTCCCTGATGCTTCCATTTGCAACCCAAACTCTATAGTCATCCTTCCAGAGTTTGCTCTGCCTCAGAGCAGACCATAGTAATGAATGGTAAGAAATAGAAGAGGTGAACTTGGCCAAGAAAACCATTTTTCATTGCTCCAGATGACTTGTCCTTCATTAGAGGGTCTGAAGCACATACTCTAACTTCCACCCTAAAGATGTGGACATATTAAGACTAGGATTCTTTACTAAAAACACTTGCAACTTCTCCCTTAGGACATTTTTTCTGGAACAAAAGTGTTAGGAAGTTAATGCCCTCAAAAGCAGTCCCCACCCAATGAGTGATGGCAATTGGTGGATAAATACCCCAACTTCCTCACCTCCCAGATGAGTTCACTCTGAGGCACATTTTATACACTGATTGCTAGAGTTCACCACTGGGATTTTGCTCCATTTGTCCACGTTGATATCTGAATAGCACTTCCCTGACTGCCTTCCTTTACCTCCCTGTCTCACTTTCCTGCCCCTCTGCTAAAGTTTCCTAGAATGATTTCCCTAGCAAACTACTTGCTCTGGACTCTTTCCATCTGTGTCTGCTTCTGGGGAAAACTCAACTAAGACAGGCTCTGTAACCCAGTACAGGGCTCTGAATACAGATTACTCTTTTTAAATTACAATACTCAAATAGTCCACACAGAAAAATTGGGTGTGGGTTTGTAATGGAGTTGAGAAGTGAATGCATGATATGAGGGCAGATAACTCTTGTCTGCCCCTTCTGACCCTGTTCTCTCCCATTTTATTGCTCACTCATCATTTGCCCAAAGCCTCCAATCCAATCAGGCTGCTCTGTTTTTGAAGTCTCAGACACGTATATGTATTCTCACCTCCGTGCTTTTGTGCATGCCGTTCTCCACATCTGAAAGCCCTGCTACTCCTCTTCAACCTGTCCAGATAGTACCAATCCTTGAAGATCTGTCTCAAGCTTTGCCTCCTCCAAGATGTCTGTTGTGTCATCACTAAGAGAATCACAGCATAGGTAGCCTGTTATTCACAACTCACCACTTAATCATAGGCTTTTGTATAGCTTCTAACTACTGCATATGTGATTGTTCTTGTCTCCCTAATTAAAATGGACTTTCCTTGGGAATAATGATGACATTTTGTACCTCTCTACTCCTCTCAGGGCCTAAAATAGTCTGATAAGCACAATTACTTGTCAATGTATGATTTATGCTTTTAAGTAATAAAACAACATGTATGTGTATGCCCAATAGCAATGAATCATTTTTAATGATCTTCAGAAAGGCCTCTTTCCTCTTATGCAAACTGCCTGGCAGACAGTTATCAGAGCATCCTTCTTGGTGATCCTTTCCAGAAGTTCACAAAAGACAACAGGCCACAGCAACACCTCGGTTTATACACACAACTTCCCTGCACTGCTTTAAAGGCATAATAAAAGATAATGCTTCTCGCTCATAAATAAAAAGTGCTTAAATGTAATTTTGACAAAATGTGTCCCAGGGGTGATTGAAGTCTTTTCCTCTCTGTTGTGATTGTAACTGTTATAAATAGACAACCATAAAAGATTCAAACGGGGAAACCTTTTAAAGGCTTACTCCAGGGCTTGATACCCTCCCCACTTTATTTTTCTTAGCCCTAATGCTGAAGGAAAACAAACACTTATCAACGTAGTAATGGTGTTTATTTCCCATCTGCCTTGGAAGGGTGGCAATGTGCCAAGCCCTAAGACCGTTCACCACAGCGCCAAGTGAGCTGAAGGCAGCCCCTCCATTCACTGTACCCACGGCTTCCACTTTGGGGGCCATGGAAAGGTTCAGGATCTTGAATTTATTTTTCCCACCTGTTTCACACTCTGTACCTTTGCCACACCTAAGCCGATTTTCCCAGGCCTGGTGTAGCTCACATCACTTCCATTCTGCTTACAAAGTCACAGCCACCTTCATGCCCCTCTAGAAACAGCCCCATTGAAGTCAGTCGAGGAAACTCGGAAAGGCTCTTTGTTCTTGCTTTGCCTAGAGTCTGATTCCCAAGTGCTCATGCCAGAGCTGCCCTAGCAGGGAACAGGAAAGCTGTCAGCCATGAGATGGAGTCACACCCACCTCCTCACCTGTACCACACCATCTCCCCCATGCTGCACCAGCAATGCCTTGGGAGCTGTGAAGAGCACCACTAGTGTTCCACCGCAAAGCTTTTCATCTTCCGGCAAGTCATCCCTCACCAAAGCAAAGTTCAATCGTCCTATTCAGGTGGGAGGTCCCTGAAAGATCCCAAGAGAAGAAGTGAGCATTTCCTGCTGTTTTTCTGTCTCTTTTCCAAGCAGCAAAGCATACAGAGGAAGTAGCTCGACTTTCTCCTCTCCTTTCTCCTAGTCTTAGCATTTTTGGCACTGACATGGGAGCCTACGCCCAAAGCAATCATGTCTACAGCAAGATTATACTTCTGTAGTGATATAATTCTTAATGGCACCTCAGTGTATCAGCTGTTCCAGTGCGTCTTATAATCCACTGCATCTGAAACCTCCCAAGTTCTTGACAATGGTCTTCCTCATGATGACTCTAAAAGACAAGCAGTAATTAGGTAACAGAATCTAATATCCTTTTAGACAAAGTTCAACTCATTTGTAAGGGGCTTTCAGTGATTGGGCTGAACATGCAGCCCATCTCTGTTTTTGCTAAAAATCCTCTCAACACACGAGAGTCATAAAAGGATATGGCTGAGAAAGTTTTAGTTGCAATCGTTCATTTCATTTGTTTAGAGCTGCTTTTTTTTTTTTTTCCAAATCCATTATTTTAGTTGATTTTCAGATGAACAGGCAAGATAACTTAGCAGTTAGGAATGCTGGTTCCAGATGCCCGAGCTTGAATCCTGGCTCAAAGCCTTACTGGCTTTATGACATTGATCAAGTCACCTACCTCCCACTCCATGTCTCTACTTTCTTATCTATAAAATGTGAATAGCTCATAGAGTTGAATTTTTTAAAGCATATATGTATGTATACATTATATATATATAAAGAGAGAGAGAGAACACATACATTTGGAACTATGCCTGGAACACAGCAAGTGCTAAATAATTATTCTAGTTAAGAGCCAAGAAAATAAAAGGTTAGCAGATTCCATGCCTGGCCTAAGCAATTCCTTCAGTGAGGAGGTCAGATATTGCCTTAGCTTGGGCTGCCTCAAAAGCAGACTCTGAGAGCAGCATTTGGGTACAAGTAACTTATATGGGAGCTGAAACTCCAGTAGAGGTAGGGAAGGAAAGGAGGCCATTAAGCTGTGTTTATGAGCAGTTTACTTCTGCAGGAAACTGGGCACAATCTTACCTGGCACCCCTTGAAGTGACTGTGCAGAACATACCATGTACCACAGAACTTTCCCTATGAGGCTGAAGGGAGCTGGGGAATGTATCACCAACTCTATCCCCCATTGTTGAGAGGTATCTCTGGGACTGGAACTTTGCTACAGTGTCTTCCAGACTGCTCCATGCATGGGTGAAGCATCCTCAGGGTATCATATGCATTCAGGCTTAAGGACGCAGAAAGCCATCAGCACATACTTGGTCTATCTGCAAGTGACTTCCTGGTATGGCCAAAGGAATACAAGCAGGACAATGACAGCAGTGAATACAGGAGTGCAATGCAAGTCTTAAAGTTCCTTGACCATCTTGTGCATTCAGACAGAACCAAAGCCAAAGGAACCCACCCAGGGAGGACCTATCCTAAATTAATTTCTGGAAAAGGATACTGTACCATCTTTCCTGGTAACTCATTCCAAGCTTATCAGACTTTATGACATCTCTATATACCTCAAAATCCCTTGAGATCTTTTCCTCTACATTAATTTCCAACAGAGAGAAAGAGTAAATCTGACAATATATTTTCATTCATAAAATAAAAAGTTTAAAAAAGGACATGACATGGCTTTAGACCCTGCTAGGTATACAGAAAAGAATGTTCTCTGAGCTTAAATGTTAAACTCTAAAAATGTAAAAACCTATTTGAAAATGCCTACCTCCAAATATGTTGACCCCTCTGTACAGGAGTCACTCTAGACATATGCTTCCAGAGTTGTAGTTTTGGAAAAACTAAAGTTTGCACAACTATCTTCAAATTGACAAGTTTACACTTCAAAGACAGAATGCGCACCTGAGCCCTTGAAGGCAAAAACCAAACAAAAGTCCTTAACTTTTATTAAATACCTTCTCTCTGCTCTTTCCCATTCCTCCAGAGACAGCTTTCATTTTACCTTATCATCTTTCTATCCAAAGGCAAAAAAAAATTCCAAAATCAATTCATAAAGGCAAGAACTTGTATCCACCATCCATTTCTAAATAAAGAAGGAAGGAATACCAAAGCAAAACAACCACACCTATTATAACTGCTTTCTTTGACTTCTAGCCAAATCTTCTTAATATGGACAAGATACAGTAAGTGACAAGGAGATCGTAGAGTCTGGCTTTTATTTAGAATGTTGGTTAAGCCCATTTGCAAGTAAGCATCTTTACATCTTTTCATGTGGAGGGCTTATTTTCTCTATATTTGGGCAGAGCCCACTGAAGTAACCAAAAACCACTACCTCTGATGAGGAGCTGTAATGTAGAACAGAGAAAGTCTTAGTTGAGGTAACTGAGGCCAGAGATCCACAATGAAACTGTACTGTATTATTTCATTTTTCAAACTTACACATTCTCCTACACCCCTTTCTTTGGGTATGATTTATGTTCAGTTGATTTTGTTACAGGTCTGGAATGTTTACACAAAGGCTTAATAGACATTTACTTTGGAAGTTACATTGTGAGATAGAATCAAGGAATTGGCCCATTGCCGGAGTCAGAATGAGAGGCCACCTGGAAGTTAATGATCACTTTGCAAAGACCAGAGGCCTGTAACAGAAGGTTCTAGAAAAGTAGAGACTTCATGTAATAACACATTATGCTCACACATCCATCTTCAGAATGACTGAAGAGAAACTCATGTTTCATAGAGACATCCACCGATAGAGACATCCAGGACACAATTATTCAATACCTTCATACTTTAATGTCATATTTTGTGCTCTAATTTATAGTTTATATATGCTTTTATATAACATTTAAAATAATGCTATCCAAAATGATTCCTGTAACCCCATTTATCAGATAATCTGCTTTACATGTTTCATTCATGCTGAATTTACCCTTGAGGCAAATAAAAAAGAATTACAACTTTCACTTTACAGATGAGGAAACTGAGACTTAGAAAGGATCAGCAACCTACTTGCTCAAGATTACATCATGCATAAGTGGCAAAAACCACAGTCCCTTCAGTAATTTCGCCACTATTCTACAGTTGTTTTGTTTAAGCTATTCGCTTTTTCTATGATTCAACGGAACCCACAAATACTTATCAAGAAGCATTAACATCACTGGGCTGAGCATAGTGGAGGATAAAAATAAATGTAATCTCCTTCAGATTATAACCTAATTTGGGAGAAAGGCCTATTTCTTGAAGTGGCTTGTTTTTATATTCAGAGATTTCTTTCTAAGAAATTATCTGTAATACACAGGGCATGGACAACTAAACAAGTCAATATATGTTACATCCTTCCATATGGCATAGTATGAAAAAGAACGCTTTAAACAAAGTGCTCAAAGGAATTCTTTTTTTAATTTTAGTTTTTTCTTTAAGTTCTGTTGCAGGATGTGCAGGTTTGTTATATGGGTAAACATGTGCCATGGTGGTTTGTTGCACTTATCAACCCATCACTTAGGTATTAAGCCCAGCATGCACTCGCTGTTTTTCCTAATGCTCTCCCTCCCCCCACCCCACCTCTCAACAGGCCCCAGTGTATGTTGTTCCCCTCCCTGTGTCCATGTGTTCTCATTGTTCAGCTCCCACTTATAAGTGAGAACATGCAGTGTTTGATTTTCTGTTCCTGCGTTAGTTTACTGAGACTAATGACTTCCAAATCCATCCATGTCCCTGCAAAGGACATGATCTTGTTTCAAAGGAATCCTTCATAATAAAATGATATTTGACAGACATCTGAAGAAGGTAAAAGAGCAGGCTATGCACATATCTGGAGAAACACCAGTTCAGAAAGAGCAAACAGAAAGAACAAATTTCCCGAGGTAGAAATATGTTTGACTTCTTCGCAAACAGCGAGGAGACCAATTTGGCTACAGCAAGACTAGGAAGAGATGGCATAGAGGAGAGATGAAGGAGGCCTGGTCATGTTGGACCTTATGTGCCATAGGAAGGGATTTGACTTTGACTCTAAGTAAGATGAGATGCCCTTGGAGGATTCTGAGTAGATAAGTGACATGGTCTGGCTTTTGTTTTAAAAGGAATCATTCTGGCTTCTTTGTGAAAGAGTATAGAGGGACAAAGGCTGAAACAGAAATACCAGGCTTGAGAGATGGCGATGGACATGGTGAGACATGGTTGGATTCAAGATGCATTTTGAAGATAGTTTCCATGGGATTTTGTGGTGAATGGAATGTTAGGTGGGAGAGACAGAGAGGAGTCAATGATTGCTCCAGGTTTTTTCAGCTTGAGCACCTAGAAGGATGGAGTTACCACAACTGAGATGGACAAGACAAGGGGTGGAACAGATTATAAAGTTTTAATCAGAAGGTCACTTTCTGTCTCATGAAGTTTGAGATACCCATTACACGCCTAAGTAGGGGTATTGAAAAGACATTTAAATGTATAAATATGGAGTTTAAATGAGAGATCTGAGATGGAGATATAAATTTAGGCAACATAAGATATTTAAAGCCATGAGACTGAATGAGATCATCCAAAACATGAGTGAGAGTGAAGAGGGTCAAGATCTGAACTGAGGGTGGGACAGCTCAACTTTTAAAGGTTGAGGAGGTCAGGAGAAACCAACAGAGAACAACAAGAAAGGAAAGTCAGTGAAATAGGAAGAGAGTAAAGAGAAAAAAGAGGATATGTCCACAATAAAAGATTTATGCAAGAAAGCTCACAGTGGCTTAATTCATAATACCCCCAGGATGAGAGCAACACAAATATCCATCAGCAGGAAAATAAATAAACAAGTCATGGGATACAAGTCATACAAGGGAATAATACTCAGCAATGCAAAAGAATAAACAAATTGGTACCCACAACAACACGGATGACTCTCCAGACATAATAAACAAGATACAAAAGAGGACTCACTCTATGATTCCATTGATGTGAAGTTCAAAGAAAGGCAAAACTACTCCATAGGAATAGAGGTGAGAACAGTGGTTTCCTCTGTAGTGGGAGGGGTAGGTATTGACTAGAACTGGTATTCTAGTGAACTTTCTAGAGGAATAGAAATGTTCAATATCCTGATCCAGGTGGTGGTTGGACAGGTAGATCATACACAGAAATGCATCAAGACATAGCCTCAAAATGTATGCATTTTGCTGTAGCTAAATTATCCCTCAATAATAAACACAAGGGAGGAAAGAAGGAGGGCATGAAAATGGTGTCCTATGCTATAGAATAGCATAAGACTCCTTGTCCCCCAGCCCCCAACAGGCCCAGTGTGATTGTTCCCCTCCCTGTGCCCATATGTTCTCATTGCTCAACTTCCACTTATGAGTGGGAATATGCGGTGTTTGGTTTTCTGTTCCTGTGTTAGTTTGCTGAGAATGATGGTTTCCAGTTTCATCCATGTCCCTGCAAAGGACATGAACTCATTCTTTTTTATGGCTGCATAGTATTCCATGGCATATATATACCACATTTTCTTTATCCAGTCTATCATTGATGAGCATTTGGGTTGGTTCCAAGTTTTTGCTATTGTCAATAGTGCTGCAATAAACATATATGCGCATGTGTCTTTATAGTAGAATGATTTATAATCCTTTGGGTATATACCCAGTAA